ACACAGAGACTGCCTGCTGTCATGGACCTCATGTTTTCTTAAGGGAGACAGAGAGGAGATAAATAGACAGGTAAATTCAGATAGTGATGTGTTATGATAGAGAGTAATAAGGGCCAGGTTATAGACTGGGGCACTGGGAAAGACCTCATCGGAGGTGATGCTACAGCTGAGCACAGAAGAAGAGTGAGAAGAGGACCCAACTGGGTAAAGAGATAGGCGAGGACTCTTACAAGGGTCTTGAAGGGGAAACCAGCTTGGGGTGTTCAGTGAGTAGGAAAGACCAGTGTGGCTGAAATGGAGTGAGCAAGGGATTGAATGGTAGGAAATGAAATGTGAGAGGAGCTAGAGCTCCTCTAGATCATGTAGATCATGTCAAGCCTTGGAGATTATAGCACAGGCTTTAAGTGTATTCTAAATCCATGGCCGTTTGGCTTAACGTTTTGTATGATATGCTAGGTAAGATTATATATTAGGGATTTAGACATTTATTACTGGGTGAGGATGCTTATGGCTTTAGCTAGGCCTTCTTCTTTTGCAGGCAATAACATGCCTGCCCCAGGCTCTCATATCTTGTTAAGCCCACCTAAAGCTCATTTTACCATTACCACAATGTAGAAGGGTCTCCCCTTTAAATAATTAGTAGGGAGGGGCTGACTGCAATCTGAATCTAGGCAGGAGACACAATAGAACAGTTGGGTTTGGGATAAGAGAGGGAGAGAAGCTCAGTCCAATACTGGGACCCAGAAAGGCCAAGGCAGTCCCCCTGGGGAAACAGAGAAAGTGAAGCAACAAGCTGTCCAGGGAACCCGAGGAAGCCAAGTAAGCAGGCTGGACCTCAGGATGGGAGACAAGGGAGCCAGAGTCTGTTTTTCTGTGTCTGCTAGGAAAACCAAGCAGTGGGAAGAATAAATAATGTTTTCCATTTAGCCACAAATTATACTGCATTATGCCCTGGGCTTCAGGCATGCCTGTAGACTTAGGTGCTGTGCCACATGACTGCCTCATGCCCCTTGCCAAGATTCTCCTCCTAGACTGAGATTCTGTCCCTAAAAGTCTTTATCTCTAGATAACTCTGGGGATCAGTCATGGGCAAGTCCATAGGGCTGAGGAGCAGGACCTGTAGGCCCAGCCTGAGAGGTTGTGTGTGCTTGGGCTATAGGGACCAAGACCATTCTGGAGGCTTACATGATGGTGATAGAAGCTATGTGTGTATTGGGGGGGCAGGGTGAGGTAGAGGGAAGCATGTATTAAGCTCAGTGAAGGGAAGGATATACAGTCCAATAGTGGCCTCAAGATCAGGCCAGGAAGGCTGCCCAGAGGAGGAGCTGTTTTAGGAGAGAGAACTAAGAGAGAGAAGATAGTGAGGTTGGTAGAATCTATGTTTCTAGAGTAAGTGTTGTTTGTGAGAGGTCTTGAAGGCCCATCCAGCAGAGAGAGCATTAAGTAGCTGTGTCTGAGAGGGGAATGGGACCAGAATGACAGAACGAGATCACACTGGATGCTTGGATGGCTTTGGAACAGAACAAATGGCCCCTGGGCCTGTGCTGTAGAAAGCATTGCCCAAATTGAACTTGGGGTTTCCTTATCATTTTGACCCTCTTCTCTATAGCCCCACCTTAAAAAAATCCAAAATACAAAAATCGGGATTAAAACCTAGGAGAATTTGTAAACATTATCCTGTCAAGAAAGTGGTGCATAACTCTCACTTTTTAAATGTGGACTGTATATAGTGACTACCTTATAAAGAAAAAGTATAGAACGGGGAAAAAGAGTAACTTTGCAATAGTGAAACCTCAGAAACACACCACCTCCACCAAGCGATTAAGGTTAATATGTTCAGTGATAGGTCATATTATAACCTGCATCTTTGATATAAAGGGATAAAATGCACTTTATCTCTGTGGTCTTCCTCCCAAACCTACAACCTCTGCATAATTGTGAGAAAAACTTAAGACAAACCCATATTGAGGAACATTCCACAATGCACTTGACCAGTACTCCTCAAAACTGTCAAGGAAAGTCTGAGAAACTATCACAGTCTGGAGGAGACATGATGACTAAATACAATGTTTTGGACAGGATCCTGGAACAGAAAAAGGACAATGGGTAAAAACTAACAAAATATAAGTAAAGTATGAGCTTAAATTAATAATGATAACATTGGTTCATTGGTTGTGAAAAAAATGTATCCATACAATGTAATAGGGAAATCTGGGTGTGGAGTGTGTGTGTGTGTGTGTGTGTGTGTGTGTGTGTGTGTGTGTATGCATGTATACAGAAAAGCTTCTAAGATAGTACAGAGAATACATATTCTGAATATAAGTACTTTCAAAAGGGAAATTCCATAGTTATATGTGAATATCACTGTGCTACTTGCTATGGGAGACTTGCAAGTAGGAGCCATAGTCCAGGGACAGAAACAAGACAGCAGAGACAAAGAAACAAACACAGGTGACAGCTAGGCTCATGTCTTAACAATGGTGACATTAGCTAAGTGCTTGCTAATCACCTGCTTTTGCTGTGATCATGAAGCTGATTAGACCTTACTTTTGTCTGACGCCTTACAGTTTACAAAGCTCTCTCACAGGCATTCACTCATGTGATCTGCACAATACCTCTGCCACTTAGGTGGGACAAGGGTTATCATCTCTGTTTTAAAAGGAGAAGGAGGCGCTAAGAGTTCTCACCAACCTCTGTGGGCAGGTGCACTTGGCGTGGCCCTCTCCATGGGTTAGCTAATTCATATAAAATGTATGGTAATTTGGTGTTACAGATACTACCATTTTACATGTTTATAGGTAAGAAATATAATTACAGATGATGAAACTGAGGTTCTGGGAATTTTCCAAGGCCATTTGACTAGTTAGTATTAGAGCCAAGAGTTAAACTCGGATGTTCTGGTCTCAAGGCTGTTTCTCATTTTATTATCTAGGCTGGTTATGTGATTGTTATGCAGAGTGTAATCAAATGAACTGCATTCTGCCACGAATCTTCACATCTTTAATGTGCCAGTGAGTGGAGAGTCTTAATTAGCTTCCATTATCAGAGCCGGTTATTATACACAAAGTCTGCTTTACTCACTGTCCTCTTTACCAGTAACTGGGGTAGCTTGGAGGGCAGTTAGTAATGTTTGTGTTTTGCTCAGCCTCTTGTGTTTGGATAGTGTCTCAATGTGTGAAGTAGAAGCTATAACTTCCAGGAAAAAAGGGGCTCATCAATGTTAACATGAGAGGAGGTGATTTCTCAATAAACACTAGAACATCTGTGTCAAAATGAATATTTTTCTTTAAGATAGTTGCTCTGAGAGGGCAACCAAGTCAATTGCTCTTTAGATACATCTCTTTCTTATGCCAAATAGTAATGCCACCTTCCTTGCCAGGGTTAGTGCTGAAATCCTTTTCCTTGTTTCTGCCGTGGTCTCTGAGCTCCTTCTGGGCAGGGCTGAGCCTCCTCCTCAGTGTCCTTAGTATCCAGCACAGAGCCTGGCCCTCCAAGGTGCTCAGACCATGCTGTCCAAAAATTATTCTCCAGGACAGAGTTTTCACTGCAGGGTAGAGGCTGTTCCAAAGACATCTCACCCCCTTGGTCCCTGGCCTGGAGAAGGTGGACATCCTCTTGGCATGAAACCTTAACCAAAGCCATCGCAGATGCCTGACTCCTCCACGGGTTTATTAGTCATCCTCTACAGTTGTTCTTATTTATTGGAACCCATTTCATCATGGGCCATATTTCCCGATCCTCTGCTCATACTTCCCTTTCCCCCATTTCTTCCAGGACTGTCCAACTCTTCCCTGAGGGCCATTTTCAAACCGGTCTCACCCTGGTGTTTCTCATCCCTTCCTCTCATCTTAGGGACCAAATACGGGTTTTTCTGCCTCTCCCTCCTCTGTTCCTCATTTACAAAGCCCCCTTATGGAGCAACTGATAACATGGAGCCTGTGAACTGGAGTTCTCTCCTTACTACTCACCACTGATATTTCAGAACACATCTGGTTTGCTGGGTTTTAAGGCAGAATGTCTTATCTCTAGGCCAGAGAGCAGAAAAAAGAGTCAAAAAATCATCAAAACCTTCATTGTAATGAGGGAGACCCCAGGGAGAGCCCAGTCATGCACCCCCTTATTTTCTTTACAGAATCCCTAACCCTAACCCATCTTCAGTTTCCCTTGTCAAAATCTTAAAGGAAAATATCACGGGTGTGATTAAAACAAAGTATTATACTGAAGCAAACAGAAAGAAGTGCTACTCCCTTTTGATGTTTGGCCTAATTTAGAAGCATATGAATGAGTATTGTTCCAGTCTGAACGGAAACAGATTTATATGCTCTCATTCATTCAGATTGGTCACAACCTGTAGTTCCCTTGTTCTCAATTGTGTGATGGAAAGTCTGTTGGGCTAGGAGTTTAGAGACCTGATTTTATCACCAGGTCTAAGAAAAACTGAGTATCCCTTGTTTCCATCATCTGTAAATGAAAGTGCTAATTATTAAATGACTTCAGCCTTAACACTCATTTCTACCCCCATTTATTAAGCCAGCTCAACCCTGTGCTCAGCTCCAGACATGCAGTAAGAAAGACACATCATTTCTTTCCTCGAGTGCCCCAAAGGCTCATGTCCAAGCTAATTCCCTCTCCCACACTGGCAAATGCTCCCTGAAGCTTTTGATATGTGTGTGCCACTTCTGTCTTCTTAGACTGCAAGTCCCCAGGGGCAGTGGCATATCCATGTTCTTCTGTCTCCCACCGTTCCTGGCACCAAGTTCTGCACATAGTAGACACACAAGGGTTTTTAGAAAGATATCTCCTAGGCCAAGAAGGCTCTTCACCTACAGTACAAGCTTTCAAAGGCTAGATGGCACTGTTGCTAGAGCCAAATCAGGTGTATTCTGAAATAGTGGCGAGGAGGAAAGAGAGACTAGAGGAGGGGGCCCTGTAACATTCACTGGCTGAGCTTGATTTAGATGCATTGCAGAAATGCAGGGCTCTGACCTTACCAGCGTAACATGGCTTCAAAGAGTCTTCACAACAACCCTGTATCAATTTTAACTCTGTACGAGAGCTGCAGCTCAGAGAAAACAAGTGCTTGGACTAAACTTACATGACAATTGATTGACAGAGATTTTTATCTTCATACATACCTTGTTGGCCTCACCAGACCACCTGAGGGTCTTTAGAGTATGCTGAAAGACTGGTCAGCTTTACACGTGTCCCAGAGAGCAGCCCCTGGGTGTACGGGACCCAATCTGAGGGGGAAAGGTAGAGTTCTCAGCCAGACTGATTGCTTAGCCTGTACCTAGAAATGTCTGCATTTGGGACAAGCAGAGAACACAGTCATTTTTGGAGTAAACAAATGATTACACATGCAGGTTCTTTGAAAAGCAAAAATTGTGGGTAATTTGTACACTGAATGGGATCTACGGTTGATGTTTTATTTAAAGAATGATCTATTTTAAGATGTTGCCCTGTGGTTGGGTTGTATATGCCATTTGTCCATTGCTTTAACATGTTCACATGTTTCTCATTAAAACAAAACAAACAAAATCATCCTGTGTGGTAGGCAAGACGGGTGTTGTGGCTGTGCCCATTTTACGATGCAGAAATAGGGGGTAAGAAAAGTTAGGAAACATTTCAGGATCACACAGCTGAGAAGTGGTTGAACATTTTAAAACTTCAGCCAAGAATTAGGCTGAACTCAAATCATGTCCTCTTTTCACCATAGTTTTTCTAGGCTATCTAGAAATCACAAAAATTAGGAGAGCTGTTGTTAATATGGGAGGTAAGACATCAGAAACTAGAAAAATATCTATATTAGAATGATGATTAATGATGTGCAAATGCATGCAAAATTAAAGGAAAATTATTATCTGTTATTTGTGCCTTCTGATTGTCCCTCCTCTCCTGTTTCTCCCCAGGATGATGATGAAGATAAGCTGACCTGGAAAGATCGCTTCCCAGGTTACCTGATAAATGTTGTCTCCATCTTGTTCATGGTAATTTCCTTGAGGGAACACCTGCCTATGACTTATGCTTGTTAGATCCTGTTAAGTGAATGCTGTGGGTGTGTTGTTCTGTAATGCTCTGGGAATCATGAGGGGCTAATAAAGATGAAGCCACAGTCCCTGTACAGAAGGACAGGATCTTATCTGACAGCAAGGCCATTGTTGGTATTAGCCACTTGAAGAAGGGAAGGTGATTTTCTCACACAGAAAACCAGACCTGTAAGGGGTCAGTGACCTTCTGTGACTCTTGAAGGAGTTTCAGTCTTCTCAGAAAGAAGAGGGTAGAAAGGGGTTCTACCTTCCCAGCCTTGACCACAGATGTTTGAAGTTGGAACTTCCAGGGAGTAGGTCATGAGATGGTACCTTCACATTGGGATATAGACCAAGACCTCAAAAGAAGTAATCAGGTAAGATGGCTACAGAATTGTGGCAGCCTGTTTAAGCTGTGGGTGAACTCTCTCTGATGGTTTGTGGAATAGAACAGAGTCTGGGAGCCACAGGAGACAGCCAGCCTAGGCTTTCTAAGCTGATTTTTCCATTTCCCTGCAGTTGCTATGTTTATTTCTCTGTGTTCTCCCTGAGAGTTTGAGAGAGCCTTTTTGAGAGACCCAGGTGGTCTCAGCTGTGTCAGGGAAGGTAGGGAAGGGGTCTATGATTCACATTTGAGTCAAAGTGGTAGCAGGTTGGTCTTGGCAGCCAGGATAAGTGAGCCAACAGTAACTGAAGCAATAAGATCTTAGGAGATTTGTAATATCCCATCTTGCTGAAAAGAATAAAAGGTAAAACTCAGAGGACTGAGCACAAGCCACTAAAACATCTGCCCCCTCTTTATAGGTAGAATCCTTCTAGTATTCAAGACTAGAGCTTCCATTTTACAGAGGAGAGGTGTATCCTGACAGCATTTCTAAGCAGGATTATACATTCATTCTGGGGAGGGAGAGAGGGTTTGAGAGATTGCTTATCCTAAAAATAAGTGGGACTATAATGATTTTCTGGACCTATTGACCACAGGTAACTGATCCTGGCCCAAGGTTATTATTGTCATTATTATTGCATCCTGACCACTGAGGACAGGAACCATGTCCTAGTCTCAGAAATTTAAAAAGTGAAGGAAGGATCTAATTCAACCACTTATTTCGCAAATGAACTGCAGAGGTGATGTGTGTCTTGCCAGAACTTAGAAGTCTACATTTGTTATCTTCCCATTGTTTAACAAGAGCAAGGCATGTAGAATTTATTCAACAACATGTGGTGAATTGCAATGTGTTAAGCTGGAATGATAGAAAGTTTAATTTAGCACTTCAAAGCCTCCCACAATATGCATCTTGTTGTCAGAGATTATTCATTCATTCAAGAAATACTTAATGGGTGCCAACTATGTGCTTGACGCTATTCTTAGGCAGTGGGGATAGAGCAGAAAATAAAACAAAATAATCCCTCCCTCAAAGAGTTTATAGATAACAAATATATGCATAAATAAGAAAATAAATAAGTAAAATACCTCTACCCCCCAGTAGTGATAGGTTAAGATATTTGTAACATCCCATTGTGCTGAAACTAACCCCCCAAAATATTGGATAAATATACTTTTCAATCCTTTTTAAAAAAATATTTTTAAATTTATTTCAGAGAGGAAGGGAGAGAGATAAAAACATCGATGATGAGAAAAAACCATTGATTGGCTGTCTCCTGCATGCCCTCTCACTGGGGATCAAGCCCTCAACCCCAGTGCCCTGGGTGGGAATCAAACTGTGACCTCCTGGTTTATAGATCGACACTCAGTCACTAAGCCACAGCAGCCAGGCCTGCTTTTCAATCTTCTCAAAGCCTTAAAGGTCTGACAGGATAGTGAGGCTAAACGCTAAGGGAAAATGGGAGATGCTTTTTACTAGTACCTTGAGGATATTTTCCCATTTGGCTAACAGCTTTAGTTTTGGTGGTTTTATGGGGCAAGGAGGTTTGAAAGCAGGGGGAATGGCTGGCTCAAAATTGAAATTCTAACAGGAGGTACTCACCAAATTAAATTAGAACTTCAAAGGGCTACATTCTCAGAGTAAAGATGATAGAACTAAACGTACCTCATTCCCCCCACTTATGGAACTGCAGAGAAAATTGTGTTCTAAGGAGAACAGGGAGAAAAAGGAAAACAAACCCTTGTCCCTGAGATGTGGCCATGGGCAATCCCCATTGTGGATTCACAGCTTGGTTCATCATACGTGAGGACCAGGGCATTACCCTAGAACACTGTGTGGAGCATGGGGTCAAGGGGTCAGGGGGTGTTTATAAAAGAGTGCTTTGTTATGAAATTTGGGCAACAAACTGGAGTATCAAATATCATTCCCTCCCCTGTCCCCTGTGACTGAACCTTGGCAAAAGATTTCAGGACCAGGGCCATGAGGACGTTTTTAGGGATGCCAGTCTGCCAAATCAGCTGGGGATGTTTTTCATAGGATGACAAGAGCCAAGAAAATGTCACTTGCTGTGTCCATCTTCCCACCATGATAGAGGCAGCATGGATGAAGATAAATTTTCTCTTTCTTTTCTCACCCAGTATGTTGAGTTAAGTTTCTTTTCTTTTTGAATTAACCCTCTTCTGAATTTCAATTTACAGGACAGGGGATTATCAGAGGCAATGTCCTTCCTTCCTCTAGAACTAGGAGCATGAGCGCTCCTGCCATGCCCAAGACAATCATTTACTTATACTCATACATTGGGAACCAGCCATTAGAAACCTTCCTCCATTGCCTGGATTATTGCAATGACCTCCTAATTGATCTCGCTGCCTTTATACTGTCCCTCTACTGATCTTTGTAAAATCTGGATCTGATAATGTCACTCCTCTGCTAAAAACTCTCTAAAGTCTTCATATTTCATGAGATGTAGATTCTTATACTAAAGGGCTGGCCCTCCTCCTCTCCACCATTCATCTTCCACTCCAACTCTCTCTTTACTCAATTGGGTCCTTGCTGAAATGTCACCTTCCCACCGAGGCCCTTCCTGACCACCCTATTTTAAGTTGCAATCTTTCCCTATACCCCTGTTCTGCTTTATTTGTTTCCATAGTATTTATCACAACAGATATACTATGTATTTTACCTATTTATTAGGTTACTAGAGGCCTGGCACATGAAATTCGTGCATGGGTAGGGTCCCTAGGCCTGGCCGGCAATCAGGGCCAATCGGGGCCTTCCAGCTGCCGGCCAGGGCCTCCCTTCCCCAGTTGCTACCTGCTGGCTGTGGCCTCCCTTTGTTCTGTGGTGCCCCCTGATGGTCAGCGCACATCATAGTGAGTAATTGGTCTCCCATTGAACTCCCGTGGGGACAATTTGCATATTAGGCTTTTATATATATAGATAGCCTATTTTTCCCCATTAGAAGATCAGTGCCCAAGAAATTTTTATCTTTGTTCATCATTATATCCTGGACACCTAAAAATGGTAACTGACCCATAGTAGGTACTCAAAACATCTTTTATGAATGACTGAATGAAAAAATAAGTGAATTAAGAAGATTCCAGAGATAAACTTATTATGTCAGTGAGAAAGTCATTAATGTGTATATTTTTAAAAATTGAGTTACTATTACATGCCATGGCCTAGACTGGCACTCTCCTACTAGTTGCTTCTCCCAGAGGTTGCTTCTGCCTGTGATTTTCTATTTGCTCCTCCTTATTCTTTCTTTCAAGCCTTTCCCATAGAAAATGGTCTCAAAGCTGCTTCTGTGAAGTTTCCTCTAACTAATCCCCCTGTTCACTGCTCAGAGCATACCAGAAAGTCAGGAACTAAGGCCTGTGACTCTGTCCAGCTGCTACTAAGCTCAACAGTTGTTATGTGTGCAATGGTTTTCTCAACTTCACTTCAGAATGAAGTCCTAGAGCGTCGGGACCTATTCCCCTTTCTGACTCTCTTAGAATGTCAAATAGGGCTATAGACTCTATAGCCTGGCTTCCATTGCAATTAGGCTCTGCCCAGAAGTATATTATGGGATTAAAACACCAAAAGCAACAGGGACCATGATAATGTGACCATGTGCACAGGATCAGCAAATCTTTACTAAACAGGGAGGCACAGAATGCAGCACAAGACCAATCCCTGCTTTTGGCTTAGTTGGGGAGACTGCTCACAAACATGAAATATTCCCAGCACAGTGGTTTGCATAACAAGTGGTTGGAAAATATTTACTGAATTTAATCAAAAAAATCAATAATGCAGCCAAAGTGGTGAAGATAGTACTGGATTTAGTGCCAGAGTGTATGGATTCTAATGTCAGAATGGGACATTAGTGCTATTATAAGGATTAGTGCTAGTGAAGATATGCATTGAATAATGACATAGAGTGGATACAAATGGATCAGCTGTTGATGATGATATCATCATTAGTGTATCAGCTCTACCATGTACTCTCCAGACCTTGGATCAATCACACTGCTGTTTCTTGGACCCTTATATGTGAGATTAAAAGCTAAACATGAATGAGCCCTAAATGCTAACATTTTTTTCATTCCTATCATGATCCAGGACAGTAGGGTAGTAGTCCTTGCCTTTTGACCTTGAGAAAATCACTTTCCACGTCTGTTTCCTGGTCTACTTAATGGTCATGGGCCTGGGCTGGTGCTCTCCAAGGTCTTCCAGTTTGAAAACTGAATCTTGAAACACTTGTGGGAAACACTGAAGGAGAGGTTCAAAACCTGATTTCTATAATGGGATGGAAAAATCAAGATCAGAGAAGTTAAGATGGCAAAGAACAGCATCAGAGGGCTGGGAGGGACATATTAGAGGTGGGGCTGGGGGAGTAGGGAAGGTGGGAAGAGGTGATTTCTCAAGTAAGGAGAGCAGTGCCTCTAGAACTTAAATAGGAATCTTGTTAAAATGCAGACAGAGTTAGGTCTGGAGTTGTGCTTGAGATCCTTCATGTTTATCAACTTTCCAGCTGATGGAGCAGGTCCCAGGGATCACACTCTGTGTAGCCAGGAGGAGTGTTCTTCCTTCCCCAGTTTAGCAGCTGGGCCTCTTAGAGAAGGAGCATCAAAGTTGATTTCCTGCCCAGTTGTTTCTCCATGCACCACCCTCAAGACTGCCAAGAAAAGGATGTTTTTGCCATTGTTTTTCCCCCAAATCCAACCCCAAATACTCTCTCTCTCTCTCTCTCTCTCTCCCTCCCTCCCTCCCTCCCTCCCTCCCTCCCTCCCTCCCTCCCTCTCTCTCTTTCTTTCTCTCTCTCTGATGCCCTGGCTGCCCCTGCCTCATTATTACTTCCACCATGGACCTTCACTGCAAAAGTGATTTTGGGGAAAAAGAATCTCACACCATGTTTTCCAGGCCCTTACTGTCTGGCAGTGATAATCCCAGAGGAACGGGAAGTGAAAATGTCTACATTGTTGGAGAGCGGTGATGTCACATCCAGGTTTCCCCTCTTACATGGTAGTCATTCCTCCCTAGACCTAGAGGATGGGGTTGCTGCTACTCCTACCGCCAGCCTACCTCCGAAGAGGGGTCTCCCACAGAGTGACTTTCCCATCTAACCTCTCCTCCACTCATACATACACACACACACATCCTCCCTTTACTCAGAGAACACTGCATCCTCTCCGCTTAGGGTAGGCTCTTTTTCACACTATGGCCCACAGGGCAAGCACTGATATTTGTAAAGCACATGGGAATAAACAGCTGAGGCTGCCACCAGCACACTCCAGGCTTTAGCACTCCCAGGTACCCCCCAGAAATCTGAAGACATCCATAACTCAGACACATCTACTAGTAAAACCCATTCCTCATTTGTTGCACACCAGAGTGTCATTCACACAGCTTGCAAAGCACTGCCCAAGCTTGAGCCCCGCCCCCTCCTTTTTTAGGGAGAGAATGTACAATCCAGGACAGATTATTCTTCTCAGAGGGAACCTGCTCTTTTCTCTCTCCATGTTTTCTATTTAGCCCTCCATAACCAGTGCTCTCTACTAAAAGGAACCACATTATGTGTATTGTACACACCATTGTTAATTCTTTGTGTGTATTATGGGCCATTTGGAAACTGATAAAAATGGAAGACACTCTCTTCTGAAAAATGCATCTGTACTTAGAATTTGCATGAGAATTTAGGGAGTTTGCAGTTCCCCGTTTCCCATCAGTGGACTCCAGATTAAAAATTCCTGGTTTAGCCAATAATACTGTTGGCTGAGTAATTGATAAGTGCTCAATAATTGTCTGCGCATGTGTGACTTTCCCTGTTTTTCCTCTACAGATTGCCCTGACCTTCTCCATTGTCTTTGCGGTCATTGTGTATCGTATCACAACTGCAGCTGCTCTGTCTCTCAACAAGGACACACGCTCCAATGTCCGGGTGACAGTGACAGCGACGGCGGTCATCATCAACCTTGTGGTCATCCTCATCCTGGATGAGATCTACGGTGCAGTGGCCAAGTGGCTCACCGAAATCGGTACTGTGCCACTGCGTCGCATGTTTGCCCCAGCCCCCCCGAAACGTGGCCATTCAGTGTGTGCAACATTGTTGGTGGTAACGACCCAGCATGAGAAAAGGAACAAGAACAAGATGCTCTGTATAGAGCATTTTAATTGGAGAAATGAGCAAATACAGTGGTCATGTCCTGGTAGGGCCTACCAAGGGCACCCCTCAGGCAGAAGCCCTTCCTGCAGCACTTTTTTTTAAAAAAAAAATATTGTTATTGATTTCAGAGAGGAAAGGAGAGGGAGAAAGAGATAGAAACATCAATGATGAGAGAGAATCATTGATCGGCTGCCACCTGCATGTCCCTCACTGGCAATCGAGCCCACAACCCGGACATGTGCCCTTGACTGGCATCTAAGCAGGGACCCTTCAGTCTGCAGGCCAATGCTCTATCCACTGAGCCAAACTGGCTAGGGTCCTGCAGCAATTTTGATCAATCCTTCTCCTGCCCAGATTGACTCCCTCACCATCCCCTAAGAATAAGCCATCGGTTTATTCTTCTTAGCCTAACTTAGAAGCAAGATGGGTTCAACACTTCCTGTTAAAAATATCAGAGTTTTAGCTCTCCTCCTTTTCCCAGCAACATTTATAAATTTGAGAAAGCCTCTTGATACTTGAGCCCAAGAGGGTCTTATCTCTCCCCATATTGTCAGAGGCCCCAGAAAATCCACACATTCCCTGTACGCTGAGCAGACTTCAAAGAGTCATATCAGACTTCCCAAGCTTTGAGCCAGTGAGAAAAATGCAGTGGCCTCAATATTCAGACGTGTCATTTGAGCTGCAACCTGCTGTTGCTGCACACCACTCTTTGGCATTTGTGCTTATGAGATGGGGGAGGGCTGAGAGCCCAGACCCTTTCCTCATTGGATTTATTCTGGGTGGCCTGGATGCACCGCCTTAGCTTTGTTGAATCCAGGGACTAGGAGTCTTGGCCCCTTATTAACCGCTGGGCAGTTGAATTAATAATATATGTCTTTAATTCACTGACCAGTTAGAAGCTAGACACTCAATAGGATAACCCCCTCTTAAGAGAGCCTCCCCTGGAGGGCCAGAGGATTCCGGAAAGGCCTCCCTGATTCCAGTTACTCATTCCGAGCCTCTCCCCGGCTGGACCCCTATTTACTGGGCATTTACCTCTGGTTTCTATGTGGACATAGGCATTTACCATCTAGAGTGGCAGTCCTGCTCTCTTCGGGCTTGTACATAATTGCAAGTGTTATCTATATGCCTTCATAAACTTCTTGAGACAAGTAGGCAGAGCATTTACTTCCGTGTATTTAGTGGTATTCAGGATCCTATGGAAGCACTTAGGAGGACCACCCAATACTCCTGAGGGCTTGAGGATGCTTCGGAGGTAAAGGCATCAGTTGGAGATCTCAGAGATAAGTGGTGGTCAGACAGGCTCATGAGGGAGGGGCAGCGGGGAGTGGGCAGGAGGAGACACAGTTCCTGGCAGAGGAAACAGAATGAGAAATCCGGCACAGAAGAGGGAACTCAGATCCCTCGGGGTCAAGAAAGACATGCAGAGAAGGGCATGTACCTGGGCTTACATGAAGAGTAGGGTGGGGTGGCAGAATTTTGATGGGCCTAAATGCCAGGGAGCTGAAGGAGCAGAATTTGCCATATGGAAGAAAGAAGAAAGGAAGGATTTCTAGGATATCAGATGAGCCCAGAATGGTGGTTGCTCTCAGGTCCTTGGCATGCCCAAGGACACAGGATAGTAGGAACTGGGCCCAGAAAGTTGATGATAACCTTTTTTCAGGGGGCTGGAAAACCTCAAATGCCAAGCTAAGGACCTTGCTTGTTTTCATAGACAATGGAAATATGTTTGTAAGTGTTCACGGGGCATCTAATGAAAAGTACCCATTGTCCTGGCCTCAGTGCTAAACCAGTTAAGAAATAAAGCACAGGCAGGTATAGACATAGCCAGGGTATTGCCTTTACAGCTGAAAAAGGCTACACCAGAGGAAGCATCTTAGCAGGAGAATCAAACAGGCTTCCTAATATTGGGTTCCAGACAGATTTACCTTTCCGGTGGTGGTAACAGTGGACAGGGCAGCCCAGCAAGTCTTAGGACCTGGGTGTTGGTGGTGGTGGTGGGGTGTGTGTGGGGGGGGGACCGAAGAACACTTGCTGCCTACAGGCCCTTTGCTCCCCAAGGGAAGGGCAGAAGAGTGGGTAGGCGAGGAGTGCCAGTGTCACCTTCCGGACTGACCACTGAGATGAGCTATTTCTCCTGTCAGCCAAGATAAGAAATGAGTGAGATGGGGGAGATAAGTAGAGCATTGCAACTGATCCCACTCCCTCCACATGGAAGAAACACCAGCAGTGGAGAGAAATGTCGCCTCAGTAACTCCTGACTCAATAGCTCCCAACACGTCTGAGGATGTTTTGAAGGGTGTGATATGATGGGAGCTGTATGTTTGCAGAATTACGTGGTCAGGGATATAGGGTGTGAGAGGAGAGAAAGGCTAGAAGGTCTGGTATAAAGGAGATTACTTAGTGTGGAGGAAGGAAGTGGGGAAGAGAGGAACAGAAAATGAGTAATGTAGAAATGTCTTCCTGCTTCTATTTGCATTACTTTATTTCATTTTTCTTGCACAGCTCCAGAGAGCGGTAAAGAAAGAACATAAACAGAGGGGTGGACAATGAAAAATATTAGCACATATTTAGTGAGCGTACAGGCTGGGCAAATTCTCTTTGCATTGGGGCACAGAGTAGTTTCCATAGTGTGAAGCTCCATCCACTGCTTTTAATAGCACTCTCCCAACCCAAAAGTTTAGGCCCCTCCAGGCTGCTAACCCAACACCCAGTCCTCCATAAGAAAGTGTGTGCACTGGAAAGGAGATGAAATTTTAGCAAGCGTATTTTGTTCTTTGTGATAGTAATACTCATAAATTGTTTTTAAACTAAAAAAATATATTCTGTAGCCCCTTCCATCTTCACAAAAACAATGTGTGGTCAGCAAGGCAAGTATTAAATCCTCATTATTTGGAGGTTCAAACTCAGATTCTACCTCTAAAATGCAAATGTGTTTTCTGCCGTTTTTATTTTTATTTTATTTTAATTTCTTTATTGATTAAGGTATTACATATGTGTCCTTATCCCCCCCTTACCCCCCATCCCCCCCACTCATGCCCTCACCCCCCCTGTTGTCTGTGTCCATTGGTTAGGCTTATATGCATGCATACAAGTCCTTTGGTTAATCTCTCCCCCTTACCCCCATCCTCCCCTACCTTCCCTCTGAGGTTTGACATCTGATAGATGCTTCTCTGTCTCTGGAGCTGTTTTTGTTCATCAGTTTATGTTGTTCATTATATTCCATAAATGAGTGAGATCATGTGGTATTTATCGTTCTCTGACTGGCTTATTTCACTTAGCATAATGCCCTCCAGTTCCATCCATGCTGTTGCAAATGGTAAGAACTCCTTTTTTACCACAGGATAGTATTCCATTGTGTAGATGTACCACAGTTTTTTAATCCACTTATCTGCTGATGGGCTGTTTTCAAATCTGAGCTACAGTGAATTGTGCTGCTATGAACATAGGGGTGCATATATCCTTTCTAATTGGTGTCTTGAGTTTCTTGTGATATATTCCCAGAAGTGGGATCACTGGGTCAAATGTGAGTTCAATTTTTAGTTTTTTGAGGAAACTCCATACTGTTCTCCACAGTGGCTGCACCAGTCTGCATTCTCACCAGCAGTGCATGAAGGTTCCTTTTTCTCCACATCCTCACCAGCACTTGTCATTTGTTGATTTGTTGATGATAGCCATTCTGACAGATGTGAGATGGTACCTCACTGTTGTTTTGATTTGCATCTCTCAGATGATTAGTGACTTTGAGCATGTTTTCATATGTCTCTTGGCCTTCCTTCCATCTTCTTTTGAAAAGTATCTATTTAGGTCCGTTGCCCATTTTTTGATTGGGTTGTTTATCTTCCTTTTGTTAAGTTGTATGAGTTCCTTGTAAATGTTGGAGATTAAACGCTTATCGTTGATAACATTGGCAAATATGTTCTCCCATGCAGTGGGCTTTCTTGTTGTTTTGTTGATGGTTTCTTTTGCTGTGCAAAAGCTTTCTATTTTGATGTAGTCCCATTTATTTATTTTCTCTTTAGTTTCCATTGCCCTAGGAGCAGTATCAGTGAAGAAATTGCTTCGGCATATGTCTTAGATTTTGCTGCCTGTGGATTCCTCTAGTATTTTTATGGTTACCATCACACCAAAAAAATTAAGATACCTAGGAATAAACTTAACTAAGGAGGTAAAAGACCTGAACTCAGAAAACTACAGGACACTGAAAAAAAGAGATAGAGGAAGACATAAACAGATGGAAGAACATACCATGTTCATGGATTGGTAGACTCAACATAATCAAAATGTCCATACTACCCAAAGCAATCTATAGATTCAATGCACTCCTCATTAAAATACCAACAGCATATTTCACAGACCTAGAACGAACATTCCAAAAATTCATCTGGAATAAAAAAAGACCCCGAATAGATGCAGCAATCCTGAGAAAGAAGAACAAACTAGGTGGGATCTCAATACCAGATATCAAGCTGTATTACAAAGCCACTATTCTCAAAACAGCCTGGTATTGGCACAAGAACAGACATATAGATCAATGGAATAGAATAGAGAACCCAGAAATTGACCCAAACCACTCTGCTCAACTAATATTTGACAAAGGAGGCATAAACATACAGTGGAGTCAAGACAGTCCCTTCAATAAATGGTGTTGGGAAAATTGGACAGATACATGCAAAAAAATGAAACTAGACCACCAACTTACATCATACACAAAAATAAACTCAAAATGGATAAAGGACTTAAACATAAGATGGGAAACCATAAAAATTTTAGAGTTTTCTGCTGTTTTTAATGTAAGCTTCTTACAGTCCGGATTGAAGTGGTGTGCTGGGTCTCCACTCAGGAACCCATGTAGGCATTATCCTGGGTCAT